CCCGAGCACAGAGCACAGGAGTGATCCCTGTATTTTGCTAGCTGTAAGGTAGGATTAAAATGAAATCTTTTGGGGGAAGCTAGAGGATAGTGCTGGGGGTCAAATCCAGTGTCGCATGGGCTTGGCATGTGCTCTGCCACTGAGTCACATCCTCAGCCCAGTGAAAGTTGGAATAATGGTATCTACGTGGAGTCTAAAGTATGTAGTATAAATTGAGGAAGTACTTAGCAGAGCACAGATAATAATGCCTTAAATAATAGCATAGGGAAACAGAGAGATGATACCAATTTGGGGGGTGTATTTCAGGGCACTGAACACAGCACCTCGTGTACCTGGGTCCTCTATCACTGAAACATATTCCCAGTCCAAGATTTCGTTTTGAGATTCTGTAGAGGCAGAGAACATGGCATTAAATTGTGCCTCATGGAGAGAATTTTGGAAGGAGAGATAATTGTCCTTCACCCCTCCACTACGCTTTCAGAAAGTTTCACTGAATATAGTTATGGATGGAACATGGGGAATTTAGATTGGAGGGATGTGGGGAGGTATGAGATCTCAATTCAACTGATGATGATTACATCCTTTAGTTAGTATTTGTTACATTACATTATTACATTAACCTATTATCTTTAGCCATGTACTCTGAAAAAGCAATCTGAAAAATGCTCTTATTCTCCATCTCACCTCTCTTCGCATTTTATTAATTGATTAAAAAAATTGGCCTATACTTGGCTGTGCTCAGGGCTTACTCCTGGTTCTGCATGCAGAAATCACTCCTGGCAGTACCTGGGGGATCATATGGGGTGATAGGGATGAACCCAGGTCAGCTGCCTACAAAACAAGTGCCTTACCTACTGTACTATCTCTCTGGTCCCTTGATTCACATTTTAATGCATTTTACTAATGGATTAATAGATCTTAATTGGCTTGTTTGTTTTAGGGCGACTCAGCAGTGCTCAGGAAACCATGCAGTACCAAAAATTAAATTCAAATCTGCATCTTCATCAGCCCTTGTGCTATCTCTCTTGCCCAAAATATCATATTATAAAGTTGGAAATAAAAAGCACCTCTCCCGGAAGGGAGCATAAAATGAGGCCCCCATAACCATGCCACTGGACTCTGCGCCAGGCTGTTTTCACTCGGGGTGCCCCAAAGGGGGGCGGGTGAGAGCCCTCCCTGCCCCCACAGACCCAGCCTCAGCAGCCGACCTCCACAACCCAACTGCCGCCACACTCCAGGCCACTTTCCACATGAGGCCGAGCTTCACATATGAGTGAACATATTCCTGGACACATCATAAGACACTCCCTACCCATTTTCCATAAGTACTATACCATATTTGATGGGGTTCAGACAAGAGGAAACAAATCACAGAGGGAAATATATATATATATATAATGCATATGTACATATTTTCAGACATATATACCAAAGCTCATATTACCCAAACCTTAATAACATGTTAGTGATATCCTATAGAATGTTTTAATGGCTCCTGCCAAACTAGAACAATCTTCACACTGTTTTCCATATGAACACTTTTTTGTATGTGTGTTAAGCAGTTCTTCATAACAAACAATACAGAATATATTCTTTCGTTTGTGTTTGGAACAGGGCTTGGGGCTTGGGATGGAAACATTCCAAATTTGGTGGAGGGAAGGTGTAATTGTGGTGGGACTGGTATTTGAATATTGAATGTAATCAAATATTGTGAAGTAACTTATAAAATAACAAAAATTAAAAAAAGAAAATAAACACATCACTCATATTTCCAAATATACAACACCCCTTTTTAACATTTAAATGCTGAAAATATACTGAATATGACGGCAAGACTGATCTCATTTCTAGAAACCTTCATCTCACAACTTAACTGCTAAGAGAAGTTATTTATTTTTAAAACTTTTCTCTTTTTGGGGGGGGGTGGAGGTGGGGGAAGCCACACTGACAGTGCTTGGGGCTTATTCCTGGTTCTGCACTCAGAGATCACTCCTGGAAGCTTCGGGGACCATATGGGGTGCAGGGCTTGAACCAGGCCTGCCATGTGCAAGGCAAACCCCCTACCCGCCATACTATGGCTCTGGTGCTGAGAGAAGTTACTTATAAGCTAATCATGTTGAATTAATGCTGTCTGTCTACAAACATAGAGAAACGTACAGAAAGAAGCCAGTGGCCATGCCAATTGTCAACCAAAAAACGATCTCACTGGCTTTCTTTTTTCTCTTTTTTCTTCTTCTTCCCCCCCCCCCCCCCCTTTCTGGGTCACACCCAATGATGCACAGGGGTTATTTCTGGCTTTGCACTCAAGAATACTCCTGGAGGTGCTCAGGGGACCATATAGGATGCTGGGAATTGAATCTGGGTTGGCTCCGGGCAAGGCAAACGCCCTACCCGCTGTTTTGTTTTGGATTGCATCTGAGCATGGTGGTGTGGGGGAGTCAGTGGTATCAGGGATCAAACCCAGGGCTCTGGCTTGCCCCTCAGGCCTGGCAGCCACTGCCTTGCTCCTGGCTTCCTTCCTGCTTATTGAACACAACTGAGCCGGCAATTTCATGTCAGATTACACGACCATATACTGTCGCACCAGAACCAAGTGACACTGCCCAATAACGAGTTTTGAAATGTTCGTTTGGCTTCCTTATGAAGTACCAGTGTGACCAGAGAAAACTCAGCTGACTGCAGTGATGACTCAGAATTTTTCCAGGGTCCTGATGGGTGAGGCAAGCTCGAGCATGCCCACCATGGGCACCCGGGACCCTCAGTGCGTGAGAACCTCCAACGTTCTGCATCTGAGGGGCTTCGTGGGGCTCACCCTAGTCTCAGCCTTGAGTTTCACTTAAAAAATATAACACTTATCAGTTGTCCTTACCCAACTTTTATCTATTGGCTATTTTGAGCACTTAGACCTCAGAGTCACAAACAGAAGAAATTAATCTGCAGACTATCTTATTGGTTAATTGTTCAAGGGGACAGAGAACGCATTTCCCTGGTTCATGGACTAATCTTTGACTGTGGAAGCTGCTTGCTCTTGCATCTGCACACAATATACAAACTGATATAGAACTCTCTTAGAAAATGATAAATAGCTATGTGTGGTGGTGTGGGGAGTCAGTGGCATCAGGGATCAAACCCAGGGCCGAAAATTTTTCCTTTTTCACACACGTTTTTTACCTTTGTGTGAAAAGGGGAAAAAGTTCCCCTCCTTTAGCTGCTTGGTATTAATAAAAGTCACAATGTTGGGTTATTAAAGGGCAAAATGAAGGTATTATTAAATATGTAAAAATTAACAGACAATTTTATTTTCTTTTTTTGGCTTTTTGGGTCACACTTGGGAAGTTACTCCTGGCTCTGCACTCAGGAATTACTCCTGGTGGTGCTCGAGGGACCATATGAGATGTTAGGATTGAACCTGGGTCAGTCATGTGAGAGTTAAATGTCTACCCTCTGTACCATCACTCCAGCCCCAACTGACAACTAATTAATTAGATATGCATCCAGGTGAATTTCATATAATGCAGCAGTTGGTAGACAATTTATGTAAGTAGTTTCATATTGCTAATAATTTTCATGTTTAAATAATATATTTTTTCCTAGAACTACTTAATTATCAAGCCACTAATACTATTCATTTTCATTTGGAACATAAATAATGTACTTATTCAGATATGATGTATAAGATGTAGGAATGAGATAATAAGATGTCACGTGGCCGCGAATGCGGCTGTGTGCTTCCGGGAGCTGTGTTTTATAGTCTCTGGGTCTTGGCCGTTGATGGGATTACACGGCGCCAGGGGGCCAGTTGGTGGGTGTGACCCCTGCCTACTGGAAGATGGAGGATCTGGGTGGAGGATGCTCATTCCTACTTTGGACAAACTGGCAGGCTACCGAATGTAACCTGCCCACATGGCAGAGTCTGGCAAACTCCCCGTGGCGTACCCAATATGCCAAATACCAGTTACAATGATGGGTCTCGTTCTCCTAACCCTAAAAGAGCCTTGAATATGGCACTTTTTAAAAAATCTCAGGGCTAGGACGAAGGAGACATTACTGGGGCCTGCTCGAGGCAATCAATGAACAACAGGATGGTCGTGATCGTGGTCGATGTATAAGATATAAAAACTTGCTTGTACACTTTTCAGAGTCTAGTATAATTACCACAATTCTGAAAAATACTTACGCAGTTTTATTTTATTATATATTAAAAAAAAGTAGCTGATGGATTTAATGATATATTAGGTACTATCTCTTAGAGATTTAATTTTAAGAACATCTTTGAAAATGCGCATACTGAATAAATCAGGTTTCTGCAGTTTAAAAGTAATTATTAGGAGACAGAGATGTACTAAAGAAATTATCAGGGTGCTGGAGAGTTCAACAGACTCATGCTTTGTATCTGGGAGGCCTGGGCTCAACTCCCAGGGCTGGAGAGTCACCTGAACCCCACTGGGGCAACTCAATAGTAAAGGACGTGGAAGTCTAATGGCATGAACGTGGCAGGAGGAGCTAATAAGAACAGACATTCAAGAGTAAAGAAAGCAAAATTTTCTTCTGAATTTCAAATTAATTAAAATTAATTTCAAATTAGTTTCAAATTAATTCATAAAAATACAGTATATCACGTGCTGCGCAGAAAGGACTAGATTATAGTTGATAGATTATAGTTTATATAATTTATATAGTATATAGTTAAATAGATTATGTAGATTATCGTTGAGATGCAAATGTCAAAAGTTACTAATAATCATGGATAACTGGGATCTGGTAATATTTTTTTCAGGGGGAGGTTCCCAAGTGGTGCTTGGAGGCTCTGCGTGAGTACACCGTTGGTTTAACGCAAAGGCCTGAGGATGGGGCGCCGAGACTGGCAGGAGACCTCCAGGAAAGCCGCTGACTGTGCAAGTCACGTACCCATGCTGTCTCTCCAGTGCCAGCGGCCAGTAATCTTAATGCAACAGGAAGCTCATAGGGGTAAGAAAATCAGGAGAAATATTTAAAAGTACCTCACGGTGGTTTAGAAGTTGTTCTAAATCTAATGACATCTGATTCTTCATTTGGAGTAAAGCTGACTTTTCTTTATTTAAATTGCTGGGAAACAAACAAACAGAAAACAGCAAGTTAAAAAAAAGGCACATGCTAGTATCTATTTAACTGATAGAAAGGGGAAAAAATTACAAATAAAATTGTTTGAATAAAAGAGAAGTTTATTGTCCATAGTATCAGAACAGTGAATCTATTTAAACAATGGCCTATTTGGTAAGAATTCTTTCCCTCCCTCTCTTTTCTCTCTCTCCTCCCTGCCTTCCTATCTTTCTTGATATTTGGGTCACACTCGGGGGTACTCAGGGGCTACCCCTGGCTATGTGCTGGGGAGGTTCATGTGGCACCAGGGATCGAACCTGTGGCTCCCCAGAGCACAGGCTCAGCCAACTGTGATGATTCCACAATATGCCTTACATTATGCATTAAAAACAAAAACCCAAAACCCAAAACCCCTCCCCACTTTCCCCTCACACATACCCCAAAACAGTGTAAAGTCATCAACTTAAAATCAATTAGGTTAAAATGCTTTACAAAAAAAAAATGCTTTACAAAAAAAAAAAATCAAGGGACAGTAGTAGGTGCTTCGAAAGAACTGGCAATTTGAAGGATTTGGAAGAAAAAGGCCCCATTCCTCCTCCTTCCCAGCACCCGAGGGCATCAGTGAGTTCTCATCACCCTCTGAGCCCCTGGAAGTCTGGTCACGACCCTGACTGACAGTCATCTGCAACTGTTCCACTGCACTCTGCCTTCTTCAAAGCCCCCATGCAGACCACCCCACTGAGCCTGAGCCTGCACATCTGGAAAACGGGAAAATAATACTCAGGCATGTCAAAGGGATACGGGAATTATCTAATGAATGATTATATAAAACATCGAACACATGAAACTCTCTATAAATGCTCTACAGTGTTACTAATTTAGATGAAAAACAGGCATCGGAGGAAAACAGTAATTAAATGCCAGTAAAGGTAAGTGCTCAGCAGAAAAACAAATAGACTTTTGGAGTTAGGCGCAGAGATTGTGGCGAGCCACGCATCTGAGGAGACCAAATGATAAAAAGGAAACTGAGTCCCCTCCCCACCCCTCAGAGCAAGACCAAAAATGGGGCCGGAGAGGGAGTACAGCAGGCAGGGCACTTGCTTGTCTGCCGCCGTCTCAGGTCGATCCCTGGCATCCTACAAGGTCTCCTGAGCACCGCCAGGAGTGATTCCTGAGTACAGAGCCAAGAGTAAGCCCTGAGCGTTACTGGGTGTGGCACCAAACCAAAGCAAAACCAAAGAAGTATGGCCCAAATACAGAAGTTTATGTAACTCCAAGAATTCTAATCTACCTTTCGTTAAAATCACTTGAAGACAAATACTTTTCAAAATTAACAGAGCCAGTAAATAGGTTTAAAATTTGTCAAGGAGCAGATATGTACTAATGTTTAGAGCATGCGCGCGCGCGCACACACACACACACACACACACACACACATACAATGCACACATTCACATCCAATTACACACTCTCAAATACTAACAGGACAAGCAAACAAAATGTAGTGTAACTGAAATGGCATGGGGATGCAAATGAAGGGATTTACCTAAACAAATTCCTAGAAACACCTTCTAGTTGACTGCCTGCATAAAGTGAATACCTAATATTGAAAGAAAAAAAAAAGCTTGTTGCATCCAGTAAAAGGTGGGTGTGGACCAGGGAGAGAGCTCAGTGGCCAGGCGCCATGAGAGACATGCCTGTGGGTCCTGTGGGTCGAATTGCCACTCGAGCCCCACTTGGTCACCTGAGCAACACTGGATGCAGCCCTGAAAGCCTGGAGACCACACCGTATCCTTATATTCTGTGGCCTGTGGTCTACCGGAGCACTGCTTGGGAGGTTAAAAAGAGAGTAACTGGCTAAGCTGCTCTATAAGGCAACTCGGCGCTATCTGTAAGACAGAGCTTTATCACAAGCAGCAGAAATTCCACTGACTAGACTCAGCTACGTGTTTTCTCAGTCTTGGCCTTTGCTATAAATACAAGCGTCAGTGCCAGGGACCAAATCCACAGCCTCACGCATGCCAGGACTGTGTACTATCACTCACCAGGACTATGTCCTATCACTTGAATCGCATCCCTGGTCCTCTTGTATCTCTTAGACTAGAAGGGAGACCACTTCCCACATGTGGGTCTCCATTACACCATGTGATTATTCTTCTTGATTCTTTTAGGATGCGTGCAATTACTTATGGGAGGTTAGACTCCAAAAGACATATTCTATTCCATGGGCGAAATGTCCCTTTAAAAATACAAGGCTTCTATGGTGACTTGTAAAGCAAGCACAAAACAAATCTTACAAGCACAGCCATCGTAAATGGTATATTACCTCCATAATTGTTTAATTTGTTGTTAATTATTACTCAGAAATCCATGTTTATGGCGCGTTTCACCTGCTGTCTGAAAGCAGGTCCCTGACAAAGCGCCCTAACTTCCTGGATCATAATACTCGAGCTCAGCTCGCGAAGGAGGGAAAAAAAGAGGTCTCTCCTCTCTTCCATTACCTGCTAAGAATACATTTATACACATGATTCTCTTTGGCAGCTTCTTTCAGCAGCTGAGAACGATTAACCAAACTGCAGAAAAGTACTATTGCATTACAATATCATGCAATAATTTTATAAAATAGCTTTAAAAGACTCGAGCCTCCCCAGGCTTAGTGCTGGGGCGGGGGGGGGGGGTTGCTTCTGGCTGTGCTGGGGATTGAACCCAGTTTTGGAGCAGATATCGCTATAATTTGCATAGTTATTTTTTCCAGGGGGTGTGTGGACCACACCTGGAGGTGTTCAGGGCTCACTCCTGGCTCATGCTCTGGGATCATTCCCGATGATGCTCGAGGAAGAACCACATGCAGTGCCAACCCTTGTGTGATATTTCTGGCTCCTGGATGGCACAGTTTTTTTTTTTTAAGATGGATGTTCTTTTTACTAGGAAAGCGTTAATTTTTGTTAAATTCAAGACAATTTAAGAAGCATGTTCACATTTTTGAGTCGGGGGATGGCATACCTGGCAGAGCTCAGGTCTAACTCAGTCTCTGTGCTCAGAGGTGCTTTCCCTGGTGGCGGCCGGAAGACCGTATGTAGTGCCGACCAGGGAACCAGGGCTGCCGCACGTAAGGCAGGCACTTTGCTCTTTAGATGCTCTCTCTGGCAGAAGTGCACTCACTGAGGATGATTGTCAGCATAAGATGCTGAAAACAAGACAGAGAGAGGCTGGAACAGCTCAAACAAACTTTATATGTGGGGTGCCCAGGCTTTGAGCTCTGGCATGCAATAGTCCCTTCAAGACTAAGCAGAGAAACCCCAGGAACAGCTCCGGTGCATCATGGGTGTGGTCTGTATACCATAACTCATATGCAAAAAAAAAACAAAAACAAAAACAAAACCCTCCACACACACACACACACACACACACACACACACACACACACACACACACACGTTAATAGTAAAAACTCAGAGAACATTTATTTATCTATTTATTGCTTTTTGGGTCACACCTGGCAGTGCTCAGGGGTTACTTACTCCTGGCTCTACACTCAGGAATCACTCCTGGCTGTGTTCAGGGGACTATATGGGATGCCAGGGATCGAACCCAGGTCAGCTGATTATTATTATTTTTTTTATGTAGGAGTAAAAAACTTTCAGTAGCTCTGAAAGTTCCTTCCTCCTGTATTGGACATTTGGCAAATCAGATGTCAGGAGTTACTTAGGTGTCTGGGTGTCTGACTGCAGCTTTGTTCCATTGGTCTGACTTTCCGTGGTAGTAAGTACCATGCTGTTTGGTCATTTCTCTCTGTTTTCGATTTTTCTATTTTGTACAACCAATCTGCAGTAGGGCGTTTGCCTTGCACATGGCCAGCCCGGCAGAGCTGGGTTTGATTCCTCCGCCCCTCTTGGAGAGCCTGGCAAGCTACCAAGAGTATCTCGCCCGCACGACAAAGCCTGGCAAGCTACCCATGATGTATTCAATATGCCAAACACAGTAACAAGAAGTCTCACGATGGAGACGTAACTGGGTCCGCTCGAGCAAACTGATGAACATCGAGAGGACAGTGCTACAGTGCTATGTAGGAGTGCTGCTATTTATTCAGTCACTGATTAGCTGATTGAATTGTGCATGAACTCCACCTTACTTTTTTCCCCATTTTTTTATAATTTTATTTATTGAATCACTGTGAGAGCAGTTACAAAGCTTTGGGTCTAAGTCTCGGTCATACAATGAACCTTCACCAGTGCCCATTCTCCACCAGCAAAAACCCCAGTATACCCCCATCCCGTACCCTCCCCCTACCTGTGGAGCAGATGATTTCCACATTACTCTCTCTCTCTACTTTGATCACATTCGATATTTCGACACCAGACCCACCATTATTATTTGAGATTTTACCCCAATACTCATCTGCTGAAAAGGTAACAGTAGACAATTTGTATTCTACTGCTGGTTATGAATAACATATGATGTCGTGTGGTTGCAGTAGAGCCACGTGATTTTGAAATTCTTAAATTTTAACACTTAAATCTGGAGGGATTTCTGCCAAAACTGCTGGTCTCCGAGATTTGCTCCTGAGTCTCTGGGATCATGGCCGTTAAGCAGCTTATCAGGAGCCAGAAATGCCGTTTGTGAGCAATGACTTGGGGTCTCGTTGGGGTGGGGAGGACAGGCCCGGCTCCACCCTCATCCCGTGAGGCCCAAAATGTCTCATCACTGCGAGCCCAGACCTGACTGTCCAATGGCCTCTGGAGAACAACGGCCAACGAGCCGCCAGGGGAAGCAGGCGGAGGGACAACACCCTTTCCCCGCTGGGGTGGCCCGGCGACAGTAACCTACTGCGTGGTCCGGACACATTTCTGTCAAAAGCTACTGGGTTTCGAGATTTGTTTCTGAGTCTCTGGGATCAGGGCCGTTAAGCAGCTTGATCAGGAGCCAGAGAGGCCGTTTGTGGGCGATGATTTGGGGTCTCGTTGGGGTGGGGAGGACAGGCTCGGTTCCATCCCCATCCCTTGAGGCCCAAAATGTCTTGTCACTGCGGGCCCAGGCCTGACTGTCCAATGGCCTCTGGAGGATGATGGCCACTGAGCCGCCAAGGGGGAAGCAGGCGGAGGGACAACACCCTTTCCCCCCCTGGGGTGGCCCAGCGACAGTAACCTACTGCGTGGTCTGAACACATTTCTGCCAAAAGCTGCTGGGTTTCGAGATTTGTTTCTGAGTCTCTGGGATCAGGGCCGTTAAGCAGTTTGATCAGGAGCCAGAGAGGCCGTTTGTGGGCGATGATTTGGGGTCTCGTTGGGGTGGGGAGGACAGGACTGGCTCCATCCCCATCCTGTGAGGCCCTGCATGTCTTGTCACTGGGGGCCCAAACCTGACTGTCCAGCCTCTGGAGGATGGTGGCACAGGCCAAGGCACGAAACCTATTCCCACCTGGGTTGGCCCAGCACCGGTAACCTACTGCAGGGACCGGACGCATTTCTGCCAAAAGCCACTGGGCTTCGAGATTTGTTTCTGAGTCTCTGGGATCATGGCCATTATGCAGTTCCATCAGGAACCAAAGAGGCCTTGCCTCCAGTTATACAGCTGAGCCGGAGGTGGTTTGTGGGTGTGTTTCCCACATACCTAACTTTTGGTCGTTTACTTTCTTGGTAAACTTTGCCCCAAGTTTTTGGGGTCTGGCCAAGGCACAGCAGCAATTTTGGGTATCTGGAAGTCTGAAGGCGCCATCAGGCTGCTGATGCACTTGCCTTACAGGTTCAGATTGACCTGCTGGCGGCACCATACCCTCTCGGGTCAGTGGATTTTAAGGCAAATACCCTAACCCCTGTACTATGGCTCCAACCCCTGCGAGAACAGTTCTATTATGCAGCCACAGTGCTATATGAATAACACAAAGATTACATGATATTTCTTCTGTTAGTCAGAGGGATTACTACTTTCATTTCCCAGATCAGAAAACTGCTGCTGTAGCATCCACTACCTTCTGCTAGCATAGGTGGCAATTGAAACAAACACTCATTTACTTTCCGTTAAGTTAAGTTCCTCACTAATAAGAGCCAGATTCAAATTCCTAACAGCCACATTTAGCTGGTGATGACCATGCTACTTTCACAGATGGGGCATATTTTCATAAGTACAGAAACTTTCATTGAATAACAAAGGTTTAGAGTTTTACTGACTTGGGCTGATTCAAAACTAAATACAAAATAAAAAGACAAAACTAGATACTCAAACAAACAAACAAATTAGATACTGAACAGACTGGGACTTAACCTATTCAAGAGCCTTTTAAAATCAATTTTATGATTTATTATAGACTATATAGAAGAAGAGAAAAGGCACACTCGCCTATGTACGTCACTTGGCTCTAATAGTGAATCACTAGGGCCTTATTGTGGGGATTTTTGAGCCACGCCTTGTGGTGATCGGGGGCTACTCTTGGTTCTGTGTTCAGGAGTAATTCCTGACAGTGCTCAGGAGACCAAAATGGTGCTGGGGATTCAAACTGGTCTGTGTGATACAAGAAAAGTGCCTTAGTCCCTCCACCTCCTCTACAGTCCCCAAAGTTCCACTTTTATTTATTTATTTATTTTTGGTTTTTTTTGGATCACATCCGACGATGCACAGGAGTTACTCCTGGCTTTGCACTCAGCAATTTCTCCTGGCAGTAGTGGGGGACCATATGGGATGCTGGAAATCAAACCCGGGTCGGCTGCGTGCAAGGTAAATGCCCTACCCGCTGTGCTATCGCTCCAGCCCCAAGCTCCACTTTTTTTTAAAAAATTTTTTTATTAGTGAAACACCATGAGGTACAGTTATAGACTTACAAATTTTTGTGCTTGGGTTTCAGTTATACAATGATCAGGTACCCATCCCTCCACCAGTGCCCGTCATCCATCACCACGGGTCCCAGCATCCCCCACTCCCCATTCCCCCGTCCCATCCTGCCTCTGTGGCAGGGTATTCCCCCTTGTTCTCTCTCTCTTCTTTTGGGTACTGTGTTTTGCAAGAGAGGCATTGAATGGCAATCATGTTTGGTCTATAGACCACTTTCAGCATGCCTCTCCCACCCTGGGAGGGTCCTCACGGCACCCTTTATTTGGTGCTCTCTTCTCTATCTGCCAAGCTCCACTTTTAACTACTTGTTTATGTTAGTTTTTAAACTTCTCTTAGTTACATTAATTAAAAAAATTATCCCTTAATCAGAATAGAACATAGGGAGACAGTAGAGCATAATGGTTAAAAATAGAAACTTAGCAAATGGTTCCAAATCCCAGTTTTGGCCGTACTTAGCACAAAGCTGTCTGTTTCGGGTACTATGATGCTTAATTACTCTTACGTTGAATTTATTCACCTTTATAATTCTCTCCTATAGGTATCATTTCCACCTGTACTAATATACAGTTTCAGTTATCATCATATCCCATGAAATAAATATCTGAATCAGCTTATTTGAAGGTAATTGTGAGCCCCTTTTTCCTGTTAAATTTTTATGTATTTTTCCTCCTCTTCATGCTTATAAAAGTTTTCAATGGCAAATTTAACAATTTTAATTTCCATCTACTTCTATGCCTTCAGTTTTATAAATTAATAATTGAACAACTTTTTATCATCTGAAAATCATATAACTAAGTCACTAACCAAGTCACCCATGAAATAAAACCTTTTAACTTAAACCTAGTAGTGTTCTGATATTGCAATTTAAAGGACTAAAATGATAAGATAGACAAACAGGTAAAAAATTTGAAAGATTATTAAATGGGGCAAATCTTTTGCCTCCGGTGCTGTGTGAGAAAACACTTTCAATCTAAAGAGGTGGAAGGAATTTCATGCATTTAGATTTAGGTAATTTATGGGTTACTTCACGTAAATGGTCAGGGGAAGAAAAAAAAATCTTAAAATTCTTTGGCAAAGTCAACAAGAATCTAAGTAAATGTGCATGTTTTATTTGTCTAAAAAGTCATTTTGGGGGCTGAGCAGATAACTCAGAGGTCTGGGGAGAATGAGTTGGCTGCAGGAGGCCCAGGTTTGATCCCTGGAACTGCATGGTCCTCTGAGCGCTGCCTGGAACTGCACCTGACCTCTGATGTAGGAGTAGATCTGAGTCCCAGCAGACCTACCTTGCCAGCAATAGCACCTGTGCCAGGACGCCTTATTCATATACGTATGTATGGCTTTGCTGAGTCCATGCTAAGACTCTCGGCCATAAGGTGGAATGTGGACACTCAAAGCCATGAGGCCTAGATTTCTTAGGAGAAATTTAAACCTGCTACACTCAACACAGCCTTATTATTAAAACTTTTTCGGGGCTGGAGCAATAGCACAGTGGGTAGGGCGTTTGCCTTGCACGCGGCCAACCCAGGTTCAATGCCCAGCATCCCATATGGTCCCCTGAACACCACCAGGGGTAATTTCTGAGCGCAGAGCCAGGAGTAACCCCTGAGCATCGCCGGATGTGACCCAAAAAGCAAAAAAAAAAAAAAATCTTTATAATTTGTTCACATCTATACTCTGCTTACAACGGATAATTCAAATGAAAGATGTGTAGACGATATACCTGACATCCTTCTCAAGCTGGGTGATATTCTCCTTCAGTGAATCAATCTTCGAATCTCTCTGACGCACTGACTCGATGAGGTACCGGTAAGGCTGCTGGGCTTGGTTTAGCAGAGAATTGGCCTGGTCAAGCTAAAAACAAGAGCAATTTCATTACAATACCCCATTTTACCAGAAATCAAAATAATGCAAAATGCTCTAGTAAAGATACAGGACGGAACTTTCCATTCCATGCATCCCTGAAAAGGTTTTCCTGAATAAATTTGCATGCTTGAAAATTAAAACGTGCGGGGAGAGAGCACCAAGGGCTAGTGAAAGTGCTCTGCCCGAGAGAGATCGGGGTTCAACCCTGGGATGGCACAGTCCCCCCACAACACTGCAAGCAGAGACCCCAAGCCACTCACTGTGAGCAGCCTCTGAGCATTGCCATGCGTGGCCCCCCTACCCAATTCATCAATATAGGGGCACAATGGGTAAGTGCGGTGAGCACGGGACTTCTCCAGACTATCTTATGACTGAAGCGAACGGTGATTCTTCATAGTGATGATGATCATATTAATAGTATTAATAATAATGAATATATGAATATATATTATATATATTTGTGACAAATAAGGCTAGGAAAAATGGGCCAGGAAGTCTGGTCAATGGTTGGAAGCTTGCCACGAGAGGGTGTGTGTGTGTGTGTGTGGGGGGGGGGCAAAGGGCAGTTAGACAGTATGACAATAATAGATGGAAACAATCATTTTGGATAGGTATTGAGTATTGAAAGTAGGTAAAGGGATATACCTGATAACCTTTCAGTATCTGTATTGCAAACCGTAAGGTCTAAAGGAGGGAGGGAGAGAGAGGGAGGGGGAGAAGGGGAGAGAGGGAGGAAGGAAGGAAGGAGAGAGAGTGAGAGAGAGAGAGAGAGAGAGAGAGAGAGAGAGAGGGAGGGAGGGAGAGGGAGGGAGGGAAGTGGCCACCATAGAGGTAGGCTGTGGTGGGGATGGGAAGGAAACTGGGAAGTGTACACGGGTGAAGGTATAGGGATTGGAACATTACAACTGAAACCCAATCATGAACAACTTTGTTAACTGTATATCTCACTGTGCTTCAATTACAAAACTTAAAAAAATATATATTGCTATCATTTTCTTGGGATGGGCCTACACACACATCCCCCCCACCCAAGTTTAGCTTCTTTACTTTATCAATTTTTTGATTATTATTAAGTCACCATGAGATATAATTACCAAGCTGTCCATGATTGGGTTTCAGTCATATAATTTGCAACACCCATCACTTCACCAGTGTACATTTCTCACCACCGATGTTCCCAGTTTCCCTGCTTCTGGTCCCCACCCCCCAGCCTGCCCACCTGCCCCCCACCCCTTTCCTCTCGCTCATTATGGTGTGTGGGCTGGAGCGATAGCACAGTGGTAGGGCGTTTGCCTTGCACGCAGCCAACATGGCCGACCCGAGTTCGATTCCTCCGCCCCTCTCGGAGAGCCCGGCAAGCTACTGAGAGTATTCGATACGCCAGACACAGTAACAACAAAGTCTCCAATGGAGACGTTACTGGGTGCGCTCGAGCAAATCGATGATCAACGGGAGGGCAGTGACAGTGACAGTGACATTATGGTGTGTGGTACAGGTACTGTAAGGTTATGATGTATATCCCTTTACCTACTTTGAGCACTCAATTCTTGTCCAGAGTGATCATTTCCAACCATCGTTGTCACAGTGGTCCCTTCTCTGTCCTAGCTGCCCTCTCCCTCTTCCCCCACTTGCGACAGGCTTCCAACTGTGGGTCAGGCCTCCTGGCCCTCATTTTTATTGTCCCTGGGTAATAGTCTCATACTGGGGCCCACACACATTTCAAATCAAGGGCTGATGTGAGAGAATGTGACATAAAAATGCATTTCTTCTGAGCTGGAGAGGCAAGATGGCTGGTGAGGCGCTTGGCTTGCATGCAGCTCACGTTCTACTCTGCACTACATTGCCAGGAATGACTCCTGAGTGCAGAGTCAGGAGTCAGCCACAGTGGGTGTGGCCCCCAAACCAAAGAAAACAAAGTAATTGCTATTCATGAGCTAAAAATAAAACTCTTTTATTCAAGCTTAATTTCTACTCAAAATGATATAATCACATCATAATTTAATATTTTTTCATGGCTTTACGTTTTCTATGTTTGAAATTTATATTTATTTATCTAAGTCACTATGCATAATTTTTTTTTTCTTTTTGGGTCACACCTGGCGATGCTCAGGGGTCACTCCTGGCTCTGCACTCAGGAATCATTCCTGGTGGTGCTCAGGGTAACAGATGGGATGCTGGGAATTGAACCTGGGTCGGCTGCGTGCAAGGCAAACACCCTACCCGCTGTGCTATCGCTCCAGCTCCTCACTAAGCCTAATGAACTAAAAAAGAACCGGTTAAAATAAAAATAAAATGTTTACTATTTTAATCACTTTAAAGAATGCCATCCAGAGATATTGAGTACATTCACCTTTTGTACAGTTACTACTATTTTGTGGTAGTTACTACTACTATTTTCAGAAAATTTCAGTGCCACAGAAACTGTACAAAGTTAGCAAAACACTCTGCCTTGCGTCCCCCCCAGCCTCCTCCTGTTTCTTGCAGGTGTCAGTATTCTACTTTAGGAAATTGCTTCCTGTAGCTCTTGCATATAAGTACAATCATATTATCTGTCATTTTGGGTTTGTTCGCTTCATTTAACATGATGATTTCAAGGTTCATCCATGTTATGCTATGTATTAGATCTCCCTCCCTTTTTAAAAATTTTATTTTATTTTTATAAAGTTGTTCACAATAATTCATTACATTTAATATTCAAACACCAATCCCATCACCATTGCACCTTCCTACCCACTACTATATTTTGAAAGTTTCCACACCAAATCCCAAATTGTGCCCCCCAAAGCAGAACCGAAACAATTAATTTTGTATTGCTTGTGATGAATAATCCACTAAAAATGGACCAATAAAGTTTCCTCTAGGTAGCACTGTGGCACTGTCCTCCCATTGTTCATCAATTTGCTCGAGCGGGCCCAGAAGCGCCTCCTTTGTGAGACTTGTTGTTATTGTGTTTGGCATATCAAATATGGTTTGGCATATGGTTTGGCATATCGAATATCGAGAGGGGTGGAAGAATCGCACGCTGGTCGGCCCGGCTGGCCGCGTGCGAGGCAAATGCCCTACCGCTGTGCTATCGCTCCTTAGGGCTGGAGTGATAGCACAGTGGTAGGGTGTTTGCCTTGCGCATAGCCAGACCGGCAGAGCTGGATTCGATTCCTCCGCCCCTCTCGGAGAGCCCGGCAAGCTACCAAGCGTATCTCGCCTGCATGGCAAAGCCTGGCAAGCTACCCATGACGTATTCAATATGTCAAACACAGTAACAACAAGTCTCAAGATGGAGACGTTACTGGGCCCGCTTGAGCAAATCAATGAACAATGGGAGGACAGTGTATACAAGTTTCCTTAGAGGAAAGTATGTGAAGATTGTTGTATTTCACCCTGGAACCATTAAGCCCTTTTACAAGAGATTACTAACATGTTTGTTAAATTCCATCAAATATTGTGTGCTACTCTTGGTACATCTGTTCTTCCTCCCTTTTTATGGTTCAATAATATTCCATTGGAGGATTACAATGCATTTTACCTATTCATTAAATCTATGGATAGATACTTGGGTTGTTTCCACTTCCTGGTCATGATGACTAACGTTGACATGAAATATGAGTCCTTGTCTTCAGTCTGCCTAGAAGAGTGAAGTAGGTGGGCCATGTAGTATTCGACTATCTCACTCTCACACTTCTTTCTCCCGCCAGAACTGAATCCAGGCCTCGACAGATGCAAGACCCGACATTACTTTGTCAAGGAGCTGGTCACTGCCCCCCTCAGCAGCTGCATTGTTCCACAGTCAGATCCCAAATTTGTTTCTACCTTTCCTGCATCCTCTCCCATAGCTACTTCATGCACTACTGGCCATTTGTGATGCCTCTATTGGAGAAACATCTATTCATGTCTTTTGCCCACATCTTAATCAGATTGTCTGCTTCTTTTGGCTTTTGCTGAGTTACAGGCATTCTTTATGTATCCTATATAACGGAGATTGTACATGCGATTTGCAAATACCCTTATCTTTCCTGAGCATTGACTTTTAACTCTTTTAATCATGTCCTTTGATCACAACGGGTTTAAATTTTGATGAAGTTCAACCTAGCCTCCCTTCTTGGTGTAATAGTATTTTTAATTTAATTTTATTGGGGGTGTGGTGCGGTTCTTTGGGAGGTGGGGTGGGGGGACACCAAGGCCATGTCAGACAGTGCTATGGAGAGGGGATGTGGTTCAACCTAGGGGATTGAACTCACGTTTTAAGCATGTGCTCCACCTTTTGAGCTATTTCTCTAGAGCCTTCCTTTGTAATGGTTACAAGACTGCTACTAAGTCAATGTACCTCAGTTCAATTAAAATAAAAATCGAACATTATCAGTTTTTGACTGATATAAAAATGCTAAAAAAGTTTCTGCATGGTATATATGCTTACAAATTACTGCTGTTTTCCCCCACTGAATTTAATTAATTTTTTTTGTTCTGGTTTATTTGGGAGGCACCCCCACCTGTGCTTTGGGCTTATTCCTGCTAAACTATGTTCCCAGCACCCAAATATTCTTCAGGGGAAAAAATATCTTCATCTTAGCAGAGCACAGCAGAGAGCTGGGAAAACCCACAGTACTGCTGAATGTACCTTCAAACTCCTCCCAATTTTCTTTCCTTCATCTAACCTCTATAAATGTTCACAAGCTCAAATGCTGTTTTTCAGCTAAGAAATGATTTATGTTTACTGCAGGGAATGGGGACACACCCTAGGGTGGGTGAGGGACTACTTCTGACTCTGTGCTGGAGAGTTGCTCCAAGTGATGCTCAGGGGCCATTTGTGGTACCTGGGGATGGATGGACCGAGGTCTCCGCTACACAAAACATGGACACAGCCATGGGGTGGCTCTCTGGCTGCTGCTTAAAGTGAAGTACACTTACTAGAGCCACATGTAGAACTTTTTATTACTCTCTAAACATATCACTTGGACTCTGCAGTGAATTCTGGAAGACGGAGCTTGCTGGAG